ACAGCAACCACAGCCAGCCAGCACGAGGGATAGCAGAGATAGCGCACTGATAACGAGCGGGTGCTGAAGATAGCTGGGCCATTGTCTTACGATATGGGTTACACCCACCGATAACATAAATCATGATTTACGCTACTCGTTATCATTAAGCTTTAAAGCCGGGTCACTAATTACTGCCGTGTTGCATATATTATGCTTGAACTGGGAAAACGGGTGTCAGCATGCCCTGCCTACTGAGCCACCAGCCAGCATAATAGTGTCCATCCAGTTGGATACCTATCTGCTGTCCAACTGAAACTTTAGGCCTTCCCTGGGGGATGTTACTTTGGCATGAAGGTTTCGGGTGATCCTCGTCCTAGTCATATATATTGCTAACCACCATATCCAGGGTATGGTGGTTTCCTCCACCCTCTAGATGGTAGAAGGTGTTTACGTAGAATGGAAAATATCCATAAATTAACACGTCACAATGCTGTTGTACTCACCTAGTTGTGTTTGCGGGGGTTGAGCTCTGGCTCTTTGGTCCCGCCTCTCAACCGTCAATCAACAGGTGTACAGATTCCTCAGCCTATTGGGCTCTATCATATCTACACTTGAAACTGTGTATGAAGTCAGCCTCCACCACATCATCACCTAATGCATTCCATTTGTCAACAACTCTGACACTAAAAAAGTTCTTTCTAATATCTCTGTGGCTCATTTGGGCACTCAGTTTCCACCTGTGTTGTGTTTAATGGCATGTGTATTACAGAATACGTGCTCCCCTAATATGCTAACACACACACACACACACACTAGGAGGGGTACTTGGGGGTACCTGGCAGTGCCCGGGATAGTTGGTCTCTCCCCCCCACCCCATATTCACCCCCTCTTCCCTCTCATCTCCCCAATTTTCCCCCTTCTTCCCACTCATCCCCCGCCTCCCCCAATCTCCCTACTCTTCCCCGTCTCCCCTCAAACAGACATTTTTATTTATTTATAGAAGGGGTACCCGGCTGGACTCGGGTGTGTCTTCTCTTGCCACCCATTCCCCCACTTTAACTCATCTCCCCCTTGACCCCCACCTCTTCACCCCTCATTTCGTCCCCCTCTAACTCTCATCTCAGAATATGTATTATTAAGAAGCACTGAAACACCTGAATGAGTCTCTCAGAAAATACATTACGATCACTAACAACTCAAAGGGAATCACATTATATATTCACGCTGTATTACATGAAAATTTCATGGGGGGTGTTTATAATGTTAGTATTTCTTAAAGTATTTAACTTAGGACTTCTCCAACGAGCCTATGTCCATCACGTACCCTAGACCATTCCCCCTGCAAAGTTGGGCGAGGCTAGTGCCAAGCGCCTGGTCTCCAACCCTGGACTAACAAACATTCCCTCTGTTTATACGTGTATGTACGGAGGAAGGGGTCGCGCACCAGTGTAGAACATCCGGCATCCTGGCGAGAGATTGTGTGGCCTGCCTTAGCCTACACACCCTATACAAAGACCTATATTGCAGGATCAATACCCCCATATTGCATGATCAAATGAAGTGGTAGTATGGAGAGAGTAGGCGTGGCCTCCGACCACCACTCTCCAGGAAGTGCGCCACTGGGAGTGTGTGTGTGTGGAGGCGGCCGGTGAGTCACCTCCCACACACACCCCGCCTCCTAGCCTGCCTCCACTACACTCCCGCCACACCTATCCTCCCCCTCTACACAACATCTATCATACTATCATCTCTCAGAGTTACTAGCACACTACACGACTTTACCAATAATTGCCAGCCAAAAAAAGTTTAGATTTCAGTAAGGACCTATATATAGGTAACTGCAGAAGGCGTAGATCGATAATTGACCCATATGAGGCAGCTCCTATTTATAGCTACCCAAATCCGTTTATATGCATCTTAAATGCGTGTATAAAGGGGTATATATGTACACTATAAACTTTCCTTCAATATTTCATATTAATTTCAGGAAAATAGTACATTGTTATGACATTGGTAAGGAAATAGACGTATGTCAGCATTGTTATTTAACTGCTAAGAGTGTAAAGGGTACTGAAGCCTCACTTGCTGTTCACGAGACCTTGGTTCGTCCATGGCTTTACAAGCAACAGCTGGGCACACAAGGTCTACATTCGATTTATTCGAAATTTATTACTCGTGGGGGAAATAGCATTCCAGGTTGCAATTATTTTACCATGTGATGGTACAGTGGACTAGAGCGCGTCTAGGGAACACTTAGCGCATAGGTTCGAACCCTTATCACGGCTCCTGTGGATTTGTTTACCAGGTCTAATAGAATAAGCTCGGTGATATCCATCTTATTAAACATCGAATTACACACCAAGTGTTTATGGACTATTATAATCCATCAAACACAATAACATTTACTGGGATGTGTCAAGCAGGTTGTCACGGTGGCCTAGTCATCAATATCCACGAACCATCAACACTATTTTTATTTCATTTAGTTACATATACAAGAATTCCTACATTCTTGTACAGCCACTAGCACGCGGAGCATTTTGGGCACGTCCTTAATCCTACGTTCCCCGGAATACGACCTGCCAAATTGTTTAACAACCAGTACTGTTGACGCGAGCAGTGGTGTGATATACGCTGACCAACAGTACTGTTGACGCGAGCAGTGGTGTGATATACGCTGACCAACAGTACTGTTGATGCGAGCAGTGGTGTGATATACGCTGACCAACAGTACTGTTGACGCGAGCAGTGGTGTGATATACGCTGACCAACAGTACTGTTGACGCGAGCAGTGGTGTGATATACGCTGACCAACAGTACTGTTGACGCTTGGATACTACGTATGTCATGAAGCTTTGAAATTCGATCTATTAAAGGCGAAAATATCAAGCCTGCATCATAGGGGTTAGGCCAGCTTAATTTGTTCCTACTATCTTGAGGTTATCTTGAGATGATTTCGGGGCTTTTTAGTGTCCCCGCGGCCCGGTCCTCGACCAGGCCTCCACCCCCAGGAAGCAGCCCGTGACAGCTGACTAACACCCAGGTACCTATTTACTGCTAGGTAACAGGGGCATTCAGGGTGAAAGAAACTTTGCCCATTTGTTTCTGCCTCGTGCGGGAATCGAACCCGCGCCACAGAATTACGAATCCTGCGCGCTATCCACCAGGCTACGAGGCCCCCTATACTATATTCAATACTAATTCAATACTAAACCTTAAAGAAAGGGTACAATGTACACTTGGAAACCTATGATGACCTTAGAGGATAGTTAATATTCTGCAAGAGTTCTGGTTGGCTCACACAAATGGCTCAACCCCTGCAAGATATTCGAACCCAGAAGGCACAGATGTTCGTGCACCTGTACACAACTAGTACGCTGACCACGTGACCACGCTGATCGTTAAGAGAGAGATCGAAACTCTGGCGTTTTTACCCAACATTTCGACCACAGAACATCTGTGCCTTCTGGGTTCGAGTCTCTTGCAGGGGTTGAGCCCTTTGACTTGTGGTTTAGGCAAGAGTATATTATTTATATATATATATATATATATATATATATATATATATATATATATATATATATATATATATATATATATATATATATATATATATATATATGTCGTACCTAGTAGCCAGAACGCACTTCTCAGCCTACTATGCAAAGCCCGATTTGCCTAATAAGCCAAGTTTTCATGAATTAATGTTTTTTCGACTACCTAACCTAACTTTTTCGGCTACCTAACCTAACCTATAGAGATAGGTTAGGTTAGGTAGGGTTGGTTAGGTTCGGTCATATATCTACGTTAATTTTAACTCCAATTAAAGAAAATTTACCTCATACATAATGAAATGGGTAGCTTTATCTTTTCATAAGAAGAAAATTAGAGAAAATATATTAATTCAGGAAAACTTGGCTTATTAGGCAAATCGGGCCTTGCATAGTAGGCTGAGAAGTGCGTTCTGGCTACTAGGTACGACATTATATATATATATATATATATATATATATATATATATATATATATATATATATATATATATATTATATATATAAACAGTAATGGTATGAAAATAGGTCAATAGGTCGGGAGTCAGTACATTAGGCAACCAACGCTTAGAAAGGTAGCGTCCAAGAGCTAACAGCTCGATCCTGCAGACAAATAGTAAATACACACACGCAAGCTCACACACATTATAAGGGGGTACTCGGCAGTGGCCAGGATAGTCTCTCTCTCTCTCCCCACACCCACTTTTCTCTTCTCCCCCTTATCCTTCATCCCCTTGGTACTTCTCCCCTTTCCTCAGAAAATGTGTTAATGTATTAAGAAGCACTGAAACAACTGTAAGGTTTCAGAAAATATATTACATCTAAAAACTCTAGGGGGACCACACCAAATATTTCACATTTGACTATGAAAATCATATGGGAGTTCCATAAATTCTTACATTTCTTAAAGCATTTAACTTAGGCCTACCCCGACCAGGTTAAGTCCGTCCCGCACCCTAGACCATTCCCCCCTGCGAAGTTGAGTGAGGCTAACTCCAAGTGTGGCCTCTCAAATTGCACACTCATAGTATAGATTGGGCTATAAATTTAATTTGGAGTACATCGTGCAGTTATTGTGCAGCTTTTGACCGACGCGGATTTAAACATTTTAGTTAATATTTATCTAGAATAACAAATGTTTTCTTCTTAGCAGCTGCCCTTCAGTGTTATCCATCAGCACTACGCATGTTGTAGAGCAAAACGCTTCATTTAAATAGAATAAAAGTGTATCACGGTTTGTATTCTCATAAGCAGCCTCGTGGAATGATTATCTCCAGCTGCATTATGCCCACAATTAAATCTCAGGCCACTCGAGCCTAATTTTTATAGTGGAAGGATCATCCAGAACAACCATTGTTAAAGAGAAATTTATGGACTGTAAACAAAGAGGGTTCTTGAATTTGTGTAGAAGCTAGAAATCCTAATGAGGCACAAAATCGAACGAATTAAATAGTTTTATAGACTTACGTGGGTTGAACACAGCCAGGGATTTGATGGTGGAGTCGGACACATTGTAGGCTTTTCCTTGGGTGATGTGGGCTTCCTGTACTGGTGCAGAGATAACCTTCTCCTGCATAGATGGTGGGCTAATCTTCCTAGGTGGTGTGGGTTCACGTGGAGGAGTGGGTTGACGGAGTGGTGGGCTGGGTTCACGTGGAGGAGTGGGTTGACGGGGTGGTGGGCTGGGTTCACGTGGAGGAGTAGGTTGACGGGGTGGTGGGCTGGGTTCACGTGGAGGAGTAGGTTGACGGGGTGGTGGGCTGGGTTCACGTGGAGGAGTGGGTTGACGGGGTGGTGGGCTGGGTTCACGTGGAGGAGTGGGTTGACGAGGTGGTGGGCTGGGTTCACGTGGAGGAGTGGATTGACGGGGTGGTGGGCTGGGTTCACGTAGAGGAGTGGGTTGACGGGGTGGTGGGCTAGGTTCATGTGGTGGAGTGGGTTGACGAGGTGGTGGGCTGGGTTCACGTGGAGTGGACTGATCCGATGGTGTGAAGTCTTGGTTCTTTATGGACTCCATAGCAGGTGCTTGGCTCTTCGTGATTAAGAAAGCATCGGTCTGGGGTTCTGTAGCTGGCTGCATCGTAAAGTCACCGAATGAACTACTCTGGCCCCCTGCAGTAAAGAAATCATCAGCTTGAGACAAGCCCTGCGATGGCTTGTCCTGAAGAAAGTCATCGAACTGAGACATGCCCTGTGAAGGTTTATCCACGATGAAGTCTGTCAGTGATGATGGAGCATCAGCTTGAGACTTGCCCTGTGATGGCTTGTCCTGAAGAAAGTCATCGAACTGAGACATACCCTGTGAAGGTTTGTCCACGATGAAATCTGTCAGTGATGATGGAGCATCAGCTTGAGACTTGCCCTGTGATGGCTTGTCCTGAAGAAAGTCATCGAACTGAGACATACCCTGTGAAGGTTTGTCCACGATGAAGTCTGTCAGTGATGATGGAGCATCAAACTCAGACATACTTTGCACGGGCTTTTCTTTCAGGAAGTCATCAAACTGAGACATGTCCTGCGAAGGTTTGTCCACTGGTACAGTGAAATCAGCGATTGATACTGGAGTATCAGCCTGAGACATGTCCTTCAAAAGCTTGTCGTTGACACAATCAGAGAGTCGTGGTGGAACAGATGACAGAAGATCTACGGAGCCTTCATCATATGAATCAGAGGACACTGCAGCAAACAAGTTACTTGACACGGTTTCTTTGCTGAAAGGGTCACTTTGAGCTTCACGACTGAATGGATCGTTTGAGAGGGAGGATGAAGGATCGGCAGGTGACTTTGAAGAAATTTCAGACTTAGTATCCGATGCTGACATGCTTGAAAAGTTGGAGAAAGGGTCCTTCTCTGTGCTTGACACTTTGGGCACGATGTCATCCATGATATCTGAAGTTGCTCCCACACTGTGGCTAGCAGGAGGTGGCAGCTGGTCTGCTTCCACCTTCTCAAAGTCGTCTAGATTCAAGGAATCTCGATTCGATCCAGACGAAAAAGGATCTTGTTTTAGGGTGGGGTCGGTATATTCTGCCTTTGGCATAGAGAACTGGTCAAGATCTGACATTTCTATGTCTTATAAGCAAGTGAGCGTACACGATTTGCCACTAAAACTATATATACTGCTTCTCCCCAGTAAAACTGTCAGTTTACAGCCACGCACACAACACACCGCTCTGTGTAACACCTCCACACAGAGCACTGCTGTGTAGTGACTGAACCTGACGAGCCGCAGCACGCGATCTAACCCATCAAGGGCGCACCATCCACCACATGCTACCACTTACCTAATATTCCGAGCACATACGGAACATACCTCATAACCTCTTCCAAATAACTTCTCCTTATCAAAATAATCTGAGTAAATTACTTTATTTAAATCTTAGACTGAAATTGGCTATGTGGAAGGTTTCCGAGGGCGGTGATTGGTGGGAGAGGAGCGGGTCATTCAGATCCCCCAATAGCGTGGGTGTCGGGCGGCTCATGCGGCACCCACGGCAGATACCAAAACATGGTGGCCCACACGGAGCTCCCAGCTGACGTCCCTCACGCTAAAATAATAAATAACGAGCAGTTTGCAGAATGTAGCAGCGAGAAGGCCGCTGGCGACAGCGGAGGATATGCTCAAGCACACATTCATGAGCAGGTTAGTTCTGTTTCAGCACTTGATATGAAACTTGTGCTTCCAAATAGGTCACGGCATCTAGCGGTTTACCGCACCCAATGTTCACATTAATGTGTTGCGGCATATTTACCTAAAGTATACCTGGGGGGCCCACCATCTCTCTGCCCTCGTCCAAGACAGAAAGCCAGCGGATTGTTAACGTTCCCTATTTGTCCTGATGAGCTTATCCAGCTGTACCTTAAAGTTTAACAGTGTTTTGGCATTTACGGCTTTGACGGGTAGGCGGTTCCGTGGGTTTATTACTCTGTGGGTGAAGCACCATCTCCTGTTCTGTGTTCTACCTTGTGGCTTGTTGAGCTTGAGGCCGTTGTTCCTCGTTCGTGTTATTGACGAAGTTGTCTGGATCAATATCCTTCAAATTCAGTAGCGATATTGTAATAGTTTTGATGAGATGAGTCCTGTCATGCCTGGTTTGCAGTGTCATTAGCCCTGTGGCCCTCAACACTTCCTGATATGAAAGTTCACTAACATCTTAAATTATTTTAGTCGCCCGGTGCTGAACTTTCTCCAAATCAGATGTGTCATTCTGAAGGTGAGATCTCCATGCTTCTATACAATAATCCAAATGCTTCAGACATTCATGAAGTTGTGTAACTTCCTTCTTTTCCCTGAAATCAAAGGTTCGTTTGACTATTCCTAGGGTGTAGTTAGCTTTTCTTTTTTTTTCTTTTTTAATTGCAGCTTCACTTGGTATATAACTTTCAGTGATTGGTGGATTCTAACTCCGTGGTTCTTGTCTTCATCAATCTGCTGCAAAGTAATGGTGTTGATTTGGTAGTTGTGAAATGCAATTTAATATTCTCATCCATGTCATCAATGTATAGACAAAAAGCGTTTGCCTTTATTGTTTTGACCATTGTTTTATCAATTCAAGTATTCTACCATTTATTCCATATGCTTGTACTTTCCCTAAAGCTTTAGCAGAAGTCCATGAATATGACATCTTCTGGAAGTCCTTTGTCTGAATAGCTGGTTATCGTTTCCAAAAATGTGAGCAGGTTTGTTAGGCAGGGTTTATTTTCAACAAAGCCATGTTGTACTGATTTTACTAGATTGTTTATGGTGAGATGGTGAATGGTTCCCTCCCTTAGGATTCTCTCTCCATGAGCTTGTAGATATGTGAGGTCAAACTGATCAGATGGTAGTTTGCTGTTGAGCTCTTTATACTTTATTGAAAATAGATAACATTTGTATACAGTATTTTTATTCTAGGGGTAACTATCCCTTGGTCTAAAGATTTTCTGAAAAGAAGTTTCAGAAGTAGACACAGTTCATCGGCCATTCCTTTATGACTTTGGATTGGAATCCATCCATACCTGGTGATTGTAACTCTGTTAATGCTTTTCCTGATTATATTGTATATTATATTACCCCTCATTCATTCTCTTCACCTACTTCAAACATATTGAGGTTATCTTGAGATGATTTTGGGGCTTTAGTGTTCCCACGGCCCGGTCCTTGACCAGGCCTCCACCCCCAGGAAGCAACCCATGACAGCTGACTAACACCCAGGTACCTATTTTACTGCTAGGTAACAGGGGCATAGGGTGACAGAAACTCTGCCTATTGTTTCTCGCCGGCGCCCGGGATCGAACCCGGGACCACAGGATCACAAGTCCAGCGTGCTGTCTGCTCGGCCGACCGGCTCCCTTTCCGACCAGGAAAGGCAAACCGCTGGCAGAGAATTTACTTGAAATTTCCTATGGGCCACCATCTCTAGAGACTTTGATAGAAACAGGAAGCTGAAAGTTTGTTAATGGTTCACCCATTGGCAATGGTCCCCAATGGTCCCTCCCAAAGAATTTTTATGGCTAATTTTTAAACAAGTAAAGTACTGCACTGTATTGTCTGGGTATTTACAACTTTGGTGGGTAGGGGATTAAATAGGTTGATTATCCTATGGTTGATCAAGCATCTCCATTTTTTGGTTCTACATTGCAGCATATTGAGGTTGAAGCTGTTGCTCATTGTGTGCATTACATTGGCCCTTTTAAAGAAGTTATCTGAATTCATTTCTTCCTATTTCATTGTTTTAAAGATGTTTTATGAGATGAACTTATGCCTGGTTTGTAGTGCTGTTTGCACTGATGCTCTCAACTGTTATTGGAATGAGAATTGATTTAGTTTTCAGATGATTTTTGTCACTGCTTTAAACTTTCTACAAAGCAGATATCTTTTTGAAGATAACAATACAGTACTTGCATACAGTAGTTCCGATGGGAGATGCACCAGAGATACAGTTTGTACGGTTTATAATCAATTTTTATTCCTTGAAGTCAAAAGTTTGTTTGATTATTCCACTGTACTAGTACTGTTTGGCAAAAAGTAAAGTAAGCAGACCATAGAATGTGCAAGTAATAAGAAGACCAATACAAGGTAAGAATAGTGATAGAAAAGCATTGAAACCTTCTGAGTATAATAGCCCAACCACTTAGGGTGGAAGGTAGAGTGACTATCTTGCTTCATGCAGGTCAGCGTTAAATCCCCGTCCGTCGAAGTTGTTGGGCACCATTCCTTCCCCCCGTCCCATCCCAAATCTATATCTGAATCCATTTCAAGTGCTATATAATTGTCATGGTTAAATACAGTGTATTGCCAATTACAGTACTGTATTGAGAAAGCCTGGTTATTTGCAAATCCTGATTTTTATCTGGAATTACTGTATATGATCTGATATGTTAAACTGTGTGTCCTTCAAACAGCATCTGTTGAAACATGTCTGGTTACACAAGACATTCCTTCTCTATGACAGTATCATTTCCAATGTTTTTCATCTTATGCATTCATAAATTACTTTTCATGTCTTTTGTTTCTCATTCATCATATGCATAATAATATGTCTGTGTTGCTGATCCCAAACAATGTCTTTATTCTTAGCATGGAACTAGTGTTGCCATTCCAAATGGAGATGCAAGGCCTGGAACTGAGAACGTGTCTGGTTATAAGAGGAAGATCTGCCAGAAAGAAGAAGAATGCTCACTCTTTGTAGCCTTTTTCACCTTCCTTTCATACGGAGTTCTTCTGATGGTGGGCTACATTAAAGAGTTCTTCAGTCCTGTAACCACCAAAGAAAAGAACAGAGAGGTGAGACACATCCCAAGCTGTATTTAATTCATAGTTTTAGAAGTATGTATGTATGTAATGTATGTATGCAATGTATGTATGCACTGTATATGTACTGTATGTGTGTGTGTATAAACAAATAAGACTTCGAGAGACTGGCCCAGTCCAACCACACTGTGAACCTGTTTTCCACCACATGTATAGTTTTTCTTGTGCTGGTGCAGTTGACCTCTAGTTACTTGAGAGATTTTCCTTAATTTTTTATTGGGTACTGTGTCAGTTTTGACACAGTACCAAACCAAAGCAGAATTGAGGTTCACTAACAAGAGTAGTATCGCTAGATCAGATAAAGTAAAGTCACAGTCTCCTCACTGCGTTGAATAATTTTAATACAATTTAGCATCAGTAAATAACTGCAAAAAAATATAAAAAATTTTTTTTAATAATGTTTGCTTCTAAAGACTGTAAAAATTGCCCATAATGTTCCTGACTATGGGCAATCCTGAATTGCCCATAATCCATTCCTGACTACCCATAAACCTCACTTCAAACTAAATTTTATACCCAATTCATCAAAATCTACACTACAAAACTATGTTCAAGTTATTACTTAACATTGCTGATGAATGCTGTTGACGTATGGAAGATGGTGAGGAGGAGGGAGGAGGAGAAGTGTTACTGTTTAGAAGGGGAGTCCCCTTCCATTATAACGTCAGGCAGTGAGGACCTCTCTGGGGTGCACTCCCTGGCACGTTTTGCCTGCAGACCACTAGGTCCTGGTTGTGGCTCACTGCTCGATTTTCACACAACAAAGCAGCCCATTGATGACTGTTTTTCCCTTCTTCGCAAGATGTTTCTGTAGTGAGGCATCACATTGTCATTGAAAAGATTAATGCAACGGCCTACTACAGCTTTCTCTGGGTGAGTCGTTTCAATAAAAGTTTGCATTTCTTCTCACATCTGACACCACTTCTTAATGGTTGCGGAAGGGACATTCACTGCTGCCTCCTCCTCCTCCACTGGAGAAACATCCTCAGCTGTATCTTCTTGCTGTTCCTTTTGAAGGGCTTGGAGTTCTTCGGTGGTCAGTTCTTTGTTGTGTTCTTCCACCAACTCCTCCACATCAGCACCATCCAATTCCAAGCCCATTTGTCGGCCCAGAGTAACAATTTCCTCAACAATAGGCACTTCATTTACAGGCTCAAACCCCTCAAAGTCTAGTTCTGTCACATATTCAGGCCACGATTTTCTCCAGCCAGAGATCAGGGTTCTTTGAGTCACTTCTTGCCAGGCTTTGTCAACGAGTTTTAAAGCACTACAAATGTTAAAATGGTCTTTCCAGAACTCTTTGAGGGTAAGTTTTGTGGCTTCAGTCACTTCAAAACATTTTGGGAAAAGTGCCCTTTCATAAAGTTTCTTAAAATTCGCTATGATTTTCTGCTCCATAGGCTGAATTAGAGGAGTGGTGTTAGGAGGAAGGAACAAGGAGGAAAGGAACATCTGTGAGAAAATTACTGTATCTGTGCAACAATTCATCTTCCTTGCCTGGAGGATGAGTAGGAGCATTGTCGAGGAGAAGCAGGGCCTTGAGTGGCAAATGTTTCTCTTGCAGATATTTTTCTATGGCAGGCCACACCACTTCATTCACCCACTCCGAAAAAAAAATCCTAGTCACCCATGCCCTTTTATTAGCCCTCCACCTCACACACATTTGGGTTTACTGCACTTTATACCGTTTGAAAACCCTTGGATTTTCAGAATGGTACACAAGTAAGGGTTTAATTTTCAAATTGCCACTCGCATTTGAACACAGCACAAGCGTAAACCTATCTTTCATAGGCTTGTGTCCGGGCAATGATTTTTTCTCCTTGGTAATGTATGTCCTCTTAGGCAATATTTTCCAGAACAGCCCTGTCTCATCACAATTGAAAACTTGTTGCTGTAGGTATCCCTCAGCCTCTACAAGCTCTTTAAATTCTTCAATAAATCTTTCAGCCGTTGGTTTGTCTGAGCTGGCTGCCTCCCCATGCCTCGCAACACTATGGATACCACTTCTTTTTCTAAATATTTCAAACCAGCCCCTGTTTGCCTTAAAGTCTATCGTATCTGCACTCGTTCCAGGGGTTTTCTTTACAAGGTCTTCGTGCAGTACCCTGGCTTTCTCACAAATGATGGCCTCTGAAACACTATCACCCGCTAACTCCTTGTTGTGTATCCAAATTAATAACAACTTTTCCACTTCCTCAAGTACTTGTGGTCTTTGTTTCATGATTGTTCTTACGCCTTTTGCCACTTTAGCACTCATAATGTCCTTTTTCTTGCTAAGTACAGTGCATATTATTGACGTGGCTTTGTTGTACTGCCTACAAAGTTCAACAACACGTGTACCATTTTCATGCTCCCGAATGATCTCTTGTTTTTCCTCTATTGTCATCCTCACATGCACTTTCTTGCCTTGATCCTTACCACTGGCTTTCTTGGGACCCATGGTGAGATATATAATAACAACTTTTCTGGTCAAATGGTCAAAAATCCAACAAAACACTGAAAATCCTGGTGATGAATTCAGGCGTGATAGTCACTGGGCGCGAGGCACTGGTAAACTGAGGGGCGATCGCCGTGTCACCACGCACTATGTCAGCCTGTACGCGTATCTACACCCTTGTCTTCCGAGGCAACGCTTGTATTCCGATGTAAATTTTCCGAGCAAATCCTGCTCGTATTCTGAAGAACTTGTATACAGGAACACTCGTATTCCGAGGTACCACTGTATTGCATTTTTAAACAAATTCATTGGTGGGGTGCAGAATTACAAAAGAGTTGGAGGACATGGAAGAGCCATTGAGCATAGTTAAAACAAAATTATATTTGTTTTCATTTTGAGTTTGGTCAGGTTTAGGTACTGGGCTGTGGGAAAGTCCATGGATGAGGCTGAAAACTACAGTATATTAAATATCCTTTGATCAGTATTCACCATATGAAGGAATAAATTAAGATTTTGCTCAATATATGCTCATTATTGCAGTTTTATATGCAGCCATAGAATATAGTAAAGGTACAAGTAAATCATTAAAATAATTTTTTTTTTTATATTGCATGTGTAAAATACAAAGGTAAAAAATATTATGACAATCGCAGGTAATATAATGTAGCTGCAAAATAGCAAAATTAGTGGATTAATGGGACAAAAAATCAGTATTGCACACAGGCAACCTTCTGGCAAGCTTCAGTGAATAATTCACCATAGAATATTGCAATACCATAAGTTTATTTTCCCAAAACTTGGGCTCTGTTGTTATGTGCAAATTTTGATATTTTAAGTGGTAGGTGGAAAATGGCCATTATATGTTAGCACATAAATGGATGATATATATACCCATACACTTGCTTCTATACAGTACTGTATATGTACAATGGAACTTCGGTTGACGATTGCCATAGAGGACGAATTTTTTGGAACACGACGTCAAATTCGTCGTAAAATTTGAATTGATTCACGATGACTTATTTGGATGACGACATCTGTTCGTACGCGTATAGGTCGAACGAGCGCGTGGTGCTGGGGGGCACGGGGCGAAGAACTCTCAGTTTAAATGAACAAATCCACAAGGTCCGTGACGAGGATTCGAACCCACGTCCGAGATCATTCCAAACGTTGCCTGAATCGACTGAGCTATGGCTTGGTAAAAGAGTTGAAACCAGAAGTTGTACCTACCTTGGATCCTGCAGCCTCTCTGAGGAAAACAACAGGGTTTTACACAACTCCCCCATGCACTCGAGCTGTGTCACTAGTAAAACCCTGGTTTGTGTCTTGGAGAGGCTGCAGGATCCAAGTAAGTTAGGTACAACTTCTGGTTTCAACTTTTTTTTACACCATGTCGTGGCTCAGTCGATTAAGGCAGCGTCTGGGATGATCTCAGACGTAGGTTTGAATCCTCATCACGGCCCTTGTGGATTTGTTCATTTGATGCATTACGCGATTGTGATTTCTGTGTGCACTCTAAGTTTGTTCACAAATCTACCGTGTGTAGTGACGAACATGGCCGTGCTTGAAATCTTTGTGAAGAATTTCATTGTCTGCCTGCTTTTTTTTTTTTGTTTTTTTTTTTTAGCATAAAAGTTCTTATTATATATCATGCCATGGGTCCCAAGAAAGTCAGTGGTCAAGTTCAACCTAAGAAAATAGTTGAGAGAAAGACGATAGAGTAAAAACAAGAGATCATTCTTAGTGAATGAATGTGATGTCTCATTACAGAAGTGTTAAAACGTAGGGAAAAGCAAGTGTCTGTAGACAGATTCTTAGTAAGACACGCAAGCAGCAAGCCACAACCAGGTCCTAGTGGTATGCCTGCAAAACATAAGAGGGAGAGTACCCAGAAATGTCATCACTGCTGTTATAATGGATGGGGACTCCCCTTCTATTCACTAACACCTCTCCTCCTCCCCTCCTCTTCACCGTCTTCCATACTCCAACAAGAGTCCTCGTTGAAGGTAAGATAAACATACAGTGCTTTATTGTAGCTAGTACAAAATGAGTGTTTTTTTGGTATAAAATGTATTTTTAAGTTAATAATTTTGGGGGTGTGGAACGGATTAATTCAATTTACATTACTGTATTTCTAATGGGAAAGTTCATTTTGGTTGACGATGCGTCTCTGGTAACGAATTACGATCGTGAACGAAGGTACCACTGTACTTGTGTAGTGTCCACAAATAAAGGGGTAATAAGGAAAATCTGTACTGATAGTTGCTTATTGCATAGTTGAAGTTATAAATGTAATAATATTTATGAATAAGTAATTAAAATCACAATACTGTACAGTATTTCATTTTTTAGGAATACTGTATTTCATATTATCTGTAGCATGAGAGTGTGAATGACATAGTGGTGTGTAAACAAACTTGAGTGTGGGTGAATGAGAGCGAGTGGATTGGTGGTGAGAGGAAGGAAGAGGAGGGAGTAGATATGGGTCATTATCAGTTTTAGGAAGATTGTATTTCATAATGCTGTATTGTTTGTA